GCAAGCTTGGTGCCCAGATCCAGGAATAAGTAACAGAGGGTCCTGTGGCACCTTTAAGACTAACAGAAGTATTGGGAGCATAAGCTTTCGTGGGTAAGAACCTCACTTCTTCAGATGCAAGTGAGGTTCTTACCCACGAAAGCTTATGCTCCCAGTACTTCTGTTAGTCTCAAAGGTGCCACAGGACCCTCTGTTGCTTTTTACTCCTAGATAAGTAGATTCCGCCTTTCTTTTTCTTTGCCCATCATTTCCTGTTGTTGTTGTACCCTGTCAGGTGAAGATTCTGAATGATCAGTTAGCTCACCCTGGGGTATGGTTTTGTAATAGTTGCTACATTTTTCATTTTTTATATGACTCAATATATTACTTATCTGAGTGTTTATTAAACAGTTTAGTACTCAACCATGTATGCAAACATTTGTGTAGCTGTATATCTTCCTACTTGATACTCTGATTTAAAAAGTGCAAGAAACAGGACAGAAAAACAAGTAAGAAAAAAAAAAAACTAACCTTGCTGAAGATCCCTGTCACTTCTCCCCTTCCCAGACCCACACTGAGTTTTGAGTTTGTTTTGGAAGTAATATGTAAAACTGTTAGTGATTAGACATTTAAAAAACACTTTTGTGGGTGTGGTGTGTTTGTTATTTGTATATACGTGTTATATGGGGGGGGGATTAAATTAGAACCAATTTACAAGCTAGGCTTTATAAGATTTAGAATCTTTCTAGCTGTTAAGCAGATACAAGGCATGTTTAATCATACAGTAACCTGTTCTTTTATTCAGATTATTTGGGCGGGGGGGGGGAGGTATCTATCATCCACAAAAACACAAATCATTATATACCCAGTTTTCAGATATGCAACATAGGTAATTCTGGACACAAAAACATGATTTGTATGTATATCAAAAAAAATTGACCTAAGTATATCTCTTAATATTTACATCACTCCTATCCATCTGTCCATCCATCCATCCACAGTAGAACCTCAGAGTAACGAACGCCTCAGGTATGGAGGTTATTTATAACTCTGAACAAAACATTTTGGTTGTTCTTTGCTAAGTTTACAACTAAATATTGACTTAATACAGCTTTGAAATTTTATTATGCAGAAGAAAATGCTGCTTTTAACCGTCTTAATTTAAATGAAACAAGCACAGAAACAATTTCCTTACCTTGTCAAATCTTTTTTTAAACTTTCCCTTTATATTAGTAGTTTACGTTTAACATAGTACTGTACTGTATTTGCTTTATTTTTATTTTTATTTTTTTGTCTCTGCTGCTGCCTGTTTGCAAACTTCTGGTTCCAAAGGAGGTGTGTGGTTGACTGGTCAGTTCATAACTCTGGTGTTTGTAACTCTGAGGTACTACTGTACTAACTGTGACAAATCTTCATTATAGGAAAGGCTCTCAACTCTTGTGAATCACTGAATATATACCATTCTGTTGACTTATATTTGAGTCTTTGGCCTGATCTACGCTGGGGGGTGGGAGGGATCGATCTAAGTTACGCAACTGAAGCTACGTACTTAGATCTTCACTGTGGTGAGTCGACTGCTGCCACTCCCCCGTCAACTCTGCCTGTGCCTCTCGCGGTGGTGGAATACAGGAGTCAACAGGAGAGCGCTCGGGGGTCGATTATCGCATCTAGACTAGATGGATTAAATCGATCCCCGCTGGATCGATCGCTGCCCACCAATCCGGCAGGTAGTGTAGCCATACCCTTAGTTTCTAAATATTATGAAACAGAACCCTTCAGGCAACATTTAATGGGAGCAGGTTCAAGCCAATAGTTGAATAATTTTTAAATAAGTTGAATTTATTTGTATAGTAACTCCAATATCTAATATGATATACTGTCTTTCTGTGCTTATTTCTGTGTTTTAATATGTACTTTTAAAAAGTAGTAAAAATGTTGAAAAATAAGAGAGAATTTGGATAGGATAGCACTGTTGAAGCAGAAATGGTGCCACTTATCCCAAGAAATAATTTTAATTAGGAAGTAGTTTAATTAGAATAAAATAATTCCGCATTAACTCATCTTGAAGTATTTCACTGATATCGTAAGATCCTTCTGCCTCAGATCAAACCACATGTACAAGTACAGTATTTGAAGAACAAAAGGCATCAGGAAGGGTCATAGCATTTCCCCTTCCTTTTGCTTGCTGCCTCAGTACATTCTGGAGGGTGAGAGGTTCACTCAGAGCTTTTGCTTAATGACACAGCCACAACCTAATCTTCACAGGTAATTAAGGTTCTCATTTACTTCATTTTCTGCCTTGCTCCAAAATCTTAATCAGAGAAGTAAGAGCTTAAAGATCATTTTCCTAATTAGTGCTAAGGGAATAGCGATACAGTCTATACTTATAGGCAAAGCTACAGACTATATCTCTAAGACTAATTTTATTGAATAGAATAAGAATAAACTAAAATTACCAGATGTGCAAAATTAAATTTGTGAATGGATGATGAGTAAGGCTGTTTTAGTTGTGGGTATTTTTAGTAAAAGTCACGGACAGGTCACGGGCAGTAAACAAAAATTCACGGCCCGTGACCTGTCCATGACTTTTACTATATATCCCTCACTGAAACTTGGGGGAGGGAGGGCTGCCTGGGGGTGCTGTGGATGCTGGGGGGGGGCGGCCCGGGTGCTGGGGCGTGCGGCCCGGGACCCCCACTAGTGCTGGTGGGGCATGTGGCCCAGGAACCCCACTGGTGCTGGGGAGAGGGGAGGCGCGGCCCGGGACCCCTGTTGGTGCTTGGGGTGGGGGGAGGTACCTGTCTCCGCCCACCCCACCCCCAGCAACAGCAGAAGAGTTTGGGTGTGGGAGGGGGCAGGGAGTTAGGGCACAGGACAGGTGAGGCAGGTTCTGGGAGGTTGCTTACCTGTAGTGCTCCCTGGAAGTGGCGACATCCCCCTCGCTCAGCTCCTAGGCGAAGGTGTGTCCAGGCCTCGGGCCAGGCACACCAGCAGGCTGCAGAAGTCATGGAGGTCACAGAATCCGTGACCTCCGTGATAAACTCACAGCCTTATTGATGAGTGATCCACTGTGAATTTGACCACAGTGTCACAGTGCAACAGAAAAATTGGATGTTTTCATTCCATAACCATCTAGCCTTTAGTTTCATGTCAAACTACTGTGAGATGAGATGAGAACATGCAATCGCTAGTCTAGCTAGAACTACTTCCTGCAAAAAATAAAGTAATATGCATTGTTTATAAGTTTGTCTAATTTTAAAAAAATCAAATTAGTCAACACTTAAGTTTTAGAGAGAAGGAAGTTTACCTTCCATTTCTGCATACTCGGTTTTACATCTGTTCATGACGTATGCAGTCTCGTTATCTGTATCTTGAAAAATAAAAAAATGCAACTTTCTAAACTGCAGTTTCTTTAAAGTTGTCAAAATTGCAGAGATGGCTGTAGACAAAAAAATTCTAAGAAATTTAGTTAAAATCTGTCGTACTAGGCAAATCTTTTACTACAAATATAAAAAAAAAAATCCAAGGAGTTTTATATGGAGGAGGAAAAATTTAGGTAGGATTACTAACTCTGAGACTGTTTTTGTCAAGCTGTTGAAGCAAGAAGTAATAAATACATTTTCCTTGGTGTATTTTGCAAAGGGTGCATTGGAGTTGAATTTTGACTGACTACTATGTACCCATGCTCTTACTTCTGTGGGAGCTTAGTCGCTAAAAAAGAGGTGACAACAGCAGTGGAAACAAATGAAATGGGTTGAGTTAAAACTGCTTCTCCAGGGTGGGCATTTGGGTTAGAATGTGAGCTTTGATCTTGTAGTGAACTCTGCAGTCTATTTGAACAATAGCTTTCTTAGTACATACAGTCTGCTATGTACTAATACGTGATTGACAATAAGCAAATTAAACATGTTTGGTTGTAAGATTTCAAAGTCTTTTTTTTTTTTAATTTGTGGTTAAGTAATGGATCTGATGATGATTTGGGGACAAGTGTAAGCATATTTTTTGTTTTAGCCAATAAGTAATGTGGGCTAGATTTTATATATCTTTCTTTTTGTCTTTGCCAGTGATAAGGATCCTTTCCAGGATATGCTTGAACATGCAGTACTAAACTATAGAAAAACAATGCTATGACATCCAAGATTGGCTTCTTTATTTAGAATCTTTAAAAACTTTCTTTTTATGGTGCAGTAATTGACAAACATTGGTTTATAATATCTTTGATGCAGGAAACAAGTCAAGGAACAAAATATCCTTCTACAAATTGAGGCAGATCCTGAAAATGTTGAATGTTTTCCTTTGCTTTTGTTATGTGATTGGAAAGCTCTGATTAACAGTAAATAGGAAGATGAAAATTGTAGTTGTGCTTGAGTGGAGAAAACTAAGCTGTTTGGTGTAGCCTTATCTATCATTACAGGTTATTTTAAATAATTACCCACTCCAGTCTGAGGGTTTATACCCAATCTGTGAGAGTTCAGCTCCAAAATCAAGTACAGAGGAGAGGTTATCAATAGAAGAGGGACCATGGTGCACAACAGGGACAACAAAGTCTCTTTTTGTAATAATTACTTTGAATTGGCCAACCAAACAACAATATACACACAGCAGTCTGGTAAAGGAGAGAGAGAACAATACGGAACATCTAGCATTTGCTTTACTTGCACCATCCCTTGTGGAGAAACCCAAAGTGTCAGTCGTCATCCTCATTGTTGTCATTCTCACCATCATTATCATCAGCACCAGGGGTGGTCAGCCTGGGATCTCCTCACGCACGCAGGCCTGGATTAATCTTTTATAACGTGTTTCACTGACACCCACTTGGTTCATACATATTGATGAAGGCTTCAACCTCTTTTCCTTATTTGAACTTCCACATCCTACTACCTTTGGTGTGACCCAGTTTTCTTAGGCTAACTTGTTAGTTCCCCTTATACTTGTTAACATGTACGTGTCTCGGTTACCATGCTGGTGGTTAGGACTTTGCTGACGCTTTGTTTGAAAAATCCCCAAAATACTCAGACCGGCTTTAACTGGTACATTGCCATGTATATTTCCTACATTTCAGCAGTTGACTGTTGCATCTTATGATATAGGGTCAGTCATTGGCTGACGTGAGTAACTAACCAGTCTTTAGGCCTGAGGCCTTGTTTGACTAAGGTAAATATTTTACAAGCCTGAGGCTGTAGGCCCTGTGTTACAACATTAATTTGTACTTACATTTCACCTCTGTATTCTAAATATCATTTATTCTTGGCTACATTGGTATTTGTCTGAAGAATCAGTGAGAGAATTTCCAATATGACACACGCAGGCTTATCAGCATTGTCATCCACATCAGTTTCAGTGGCATTATTTGTGACCAAACTCCAGGAAAAACTCCACTAGAACGATGTCCCTTTCTAACATTTTTTCAGTTGGGTGAGGATGCAGGAAAGACCATTGTCCCCGCAACATATGAGCAAATAGTTCAGGAGAGAAGACAATTACCAAAATCAAACAAGAGGCAGATGTTTTCTTGCTGTATTTATATAAAAGGAACTTACACCTAAGAGAGGACTTTAAATGTTAGAATAAATATCACTGTGTATACAGGGAATATATACTGGGATAATTCATTATAGTGAATAATATAGACGCAAGAACATACTTGTTTATAATTTTACTGTTTAAATTATCTTTCAGCCCATGTTGTGGATGTACTCAATTTGTGACTCCACGTTATTCAGCAGTTCAGTGGGGGGGAAAGCAACCCCCAAAAAATCTCTTTCCACTAGAGAAAGGAGTACAGTGGAAGAAAATCTTCCAACTGAACTAAGTGGTTAGTCTATTGAATGAACTGTTTAAAAAAAAAAAAAGATATCCCATCTCCTAGAACTAGAAGGGACCTTGAAAGCTCATCGAGTCCAGCCCCCTGCCTTCACTAGCAGGACCAAGTACTGATTTTGCCCTAGATCCCCAAGTGGCCCCCTCAAGGATTGAACTCACAACCCTGTGTTTTGCAGGCCAATGCTCAAACCACTGAGCTATCCCTCCCCCCGCTACTATATTATAATAACTAAATTAGCTAAACATTCTTCATGTGCCCCAGCCAATGCATCATGACTTCAAAGTTCATAAACTCCTGCAGTATTGGGTGTAGTATTCTGATTGTACTTGTGGCTTCTAGACTCCTGAAAATGCACCGTTTTTGTTAATCCCCAGATATGGCCACATTTTAAGTAATTCAAGTGTGCATTTAAGACTTTCAAATGAAATGTCATTTAATTTACCTTAGCTGTGTTTGTTGTTTTGTTTTGTTTTTAATATCTGATTTTAAAACTTTTAGGTCATGACAGCTGTGTAGAGCTTCTTTTGGAACAGGAAGTTTTCCAGAAAATGGAAGGAAATTCTTTCAGCCCATTGCATTGTGCTGTGTAAGGAAGTTCAAGATTACTGTAAAAGATTTCATTACAATATTTAACAAAAGATCAGTCATTCTCTAAGTAACAGCCTGTTTAATTTTTTAATAGCATAAATGACAATGAAGGTGCTGCTGAAATGTTAATCGATACATTGGGTGCTGGCATTGTAAATACAACAGATGCAAAAGGAAGGTAGGAATATAATAACTGCACTTAGGAAACAGTGCACTGCAAACAGTAATCTCCTGGCTTTTGTGTCATAGCCTTAATGTTTTTTAAACTTATTTGGCATATTTGTTTTCTTTTCTGTATAAAGGCATTTTTTGGTTATATACTGAAAATGTTGTTGGGGATTTTTAAAAACCATGTATTGTGTTAATAAAGCTGAATTGGTTTTTTATTGTGTAGGAGAGTTTGGGCATTTTTATAATTGTATAAAAATCTGTACAATATAAATCTTTATGCCTATTAACCATATTTTAGTATTTTGTCCATTTTATTTTTCTGAGTCATCCTTGTCCATATTATGGGCTTACTGGTTGCAAAATATTCATTTTAAATTCGAGGCCAATTATTTTTAAAAACTGAAAAATGATCTTATAATAGCAACTGTGACCACTCTAACAATAATGGCCTTAGTGTATTTTTATGGTAGTGACTGCCCATAGTGATACAATTGCAGGATCACAGCCAAAGTTTGCACCTGTGAATAAAGCATTATGTACGTTTCCTGAATGTAAGCCCATTTCCTCTTGATTTCTTTTAGAACCCCCCTTCATGCAGCAGCTTTTACAGATCATGTGGAGTGTTTACAGCTTCTACTCAGTCATAATGCTCAAGTAAATGCTGTAGATTCTTCTGGAAAGACTCCTCTAATGATGGCTGCTGAAAATGGGCAAACTAACACCGTTGGTAAAGAGAGAGCTTAAATATCTTCTACTTTAACTTTTAATAATGTACAGTAATATTCTACTATAGATGTTGTTTTAAAATAACATGTTATGCATTCACACATTTATTAAAAGTGTATTATTTTAGGTTTTAATCTTCATTTTATAAAGTGGAAAATAGATAATTCCTTTAGAAACACACTTTTTAGTTAATGCAAAGTTTTATTTCCTTCAGAGGTGCTGGTTAGCAGTGCTAAGGCTGATCTGACCTTGCAAGATAGCAGTAAAAACACAGCACTCCATTTGGCTTGCAGCAAGGTGTGTCAGTTTCTATTTGAGCTCTTTTTTGCATGTTTGTTTGTTAATGAAAAACTATTTTTTAAAATATGATCTTTGTCAAACTGTAAAATCTCCAGAAACTACTTCAAAAAGACATACAAAACAATTTCTTCAATGAGTGTGTTATCTGACAACCATGTTTCCTGTATATTTAGGGTCATGAAACTAGTGCCTTGTTAATACTGGAGAAAATTACGGATAGAAACCTCATCAATGCCACCAATGCAGCCTTGCAAACGTATGTATGGCCACTGAACAGTATTTTACAGTTGGATTTTCAATATATTTCTGCTGTTAGTAAAGCTAATAATTATATAAACATTTTTAAGTGTTCAGGTTTCCATCTGAATAAGAGAAAGGGATGCTGGAAAAATCTTAGGTCATCATGGCTAAAAGAATTCTACCAGGAATGACACTAATCCTGAGATGATCTGGAGGACAGTAGTCTTGTGATGTTACTTCTTTATAACCACTATTCAGCTTTTTCTATTAAAAATTAAATAGTAGTTAATTCCAATGATTGCTACAAATGTCTGATTTGCTGTTTTAAAAAAAAAAGCAGGTGAGTTAACTAATTATGAAAATGCTAGCTGGAGAGTACTTTTTGTTTACTTTTATTAAAACAATGTGGCAATCGGGTATTTTCTAGCTAACATTACGTCTAAAAACTTTTATCTCAGAACTCTATTTTTTGAGCCCGGTTATAGGGAAATTCAAATGTAAGAAGCATTTCGTACTATAAAACTGTGAAATGTATTTATTTGGAACTGGGATGGAAGATTTTAGTAACTGATTCTTCTGTTTTTATTTTCTCTTAAGTGATATTGGCAGCCTAGAACACCTACCCACACGGATTTTTAAAATCTTTTAATTAGGCCTTAACAATCAGAGGAAAACATAAAAATTTATCAGGGCTGCTAAATGACTCTTGGATGTTTTAGTATTAGCCACCTTGTCTTGTTCCTGCTCCCCTGTTGGAATCTCTCTCATTCAATTGTTGCTCAAGGGATTTCCTTACAGTATCACCTTCTGTCAATTAGGGGCTGCTTTGATTTGGGAATTAGACAGCTAGGCTCCTGCTCTTGCTGCTCACCATATTGGATCTTAAGCAGCATGGAACACACTAAGCAAGAAGAAGAATGTAGCTGAGGCAGTGGCTGGTTGCCCTGGCGCATGGCTAATGAGAGGCAGAAAGAGGTGGAGAGAAAACAACCTGGGAGACAAAAGGGGGAACAAAAGAAGATAAAGAGAATGGGGACACACTAAGGAGGGTGGAGACAGTCTCTTCTAACTTCTTCCAAACAACCTGAATCAACCATACGGCTGATGTGGATCTCCAGGAAAAATCAGTGACCTTTTACTCACTGGCAAGAAGTGTCATGCACTGAGCTGCACAAAATCTGAATAATTTTAATGTTTAAAATATTTTACTGGTATGGAGGCTTATTTTACAGTCCATTATACTGAGTTCTTAAACCAAGTGCATCACAAATTATGTAAAGTTTTTTTAGCAGGGTGAATGCTGGCAGAAGTAGGCCCAAATTGTAAATAACTTTTTCAAATGGATTTCAGTTTATTCATGGTGTTAAATGCTTCTTACTTCTTTAACTTTAATATTTTGAGCTACAGACAATAGGTGCAATTCTTCTTCAAGTAGTGTCCCTATAGATGCTCCTCTTCGGTGCACATATGCCTCTCAAGCCCTTGATCGGAGATTTTCAGTTAGCAATGTCCGTTCAGCCCATAGTGTTGGTGGTGGTGTGCAGGGCATCTTGGCTCCATCCCTTGGGATTTCTGAGAAATAGAGAACACCGTGGAGGGACCTCCCCTTCAATGGTTGTAAGCTGCTCTTGGAAACCACAGATGAGTCCTTGCATACTCTAAAGGAGTCTAGGGCTACTTTATAATCCTTGGGTATATGTACACCTACAAATACGACAAGGTTTAGTATGTCCCAGACTGCCCGCATCCTATTCAGTTTTCCGGGTTCGTAGGTCCACTAACATTCCCCCCTCCCACCCACCCCCGCAGAAAGAGACAGATTTCGGGGAGAGAGGGCCTCCCAACCGTCCTCCATGATCACCCAGTCATCTCCAAAGCAACAGGTTTGATGGGTTGGTCAAGGGTTCACATCCTCCTACACCTCTTGATTTACAGCTGCATCCATTAGCCCACCTCCTGCCTTTAGAGACCACCTTGCCTAGTTCTAGCATGCTGGGAGATGGATCACTACAGACAACTGGGTCATAGAGGTCATAAAATGGATGTAAAAAGCAACAGAGGGTCCTGTGGCACCTTTGA